GAAGAGCGGGCCTGATGGCCCGAGTCTCGCCACGTAAAATAAAGCATATTCAATTCAATTCAATTCAAAATATCTGTATCCTTAAGGACAGACACGGTTCAAATGCGAACGTGGTTTAGCATTTTACGGGTGTCGAGTACACAATAGTACATTATGAAACGATGATGTAATGATGGGTATTAATACACGGATGTGATAGGAACGAGCGAGTATCGTAAACTTCATATGAGTGTACTTTTTCTACGACTTACGGCAACTTTTATACGTTCAGCTTTTACATTGAATAGCTTCATGGCAGTTGGCAGGCAAGATTCAGCCAAGGCCACCTATCGGCAGCTCCCTACCCTCCCGCGGGTACTTCGGTTTACAACTGCGCTAGTCAAATAGGATCAAAGTGAAATTACGAACTAATTTATTTTCAATACTAGTTCACGTAAAAATAATTAATAAACGAAATTAAAACTGATTGTGTCAATTTTTGGTTTGTAATCTTCCCTGTGATTGGTCAAAAACCTGAATCTCTATGAAATTTGTCTCGTAATGAGTATCATTATACGAGTTGCAGCCATCAAAATGATAGAATTATACAGTGGGAGTAAAAAAATAGTTTTTACGACTAGCGTCCAACGTTATGATGCAATAGTGAGTGAAATTTAAGAAGTTATGCCCAACGTTTCGATTTAAACGAAGGTAGTTCCGAATAGTGACGAGAGATAATGCATTACATTTCCATAATGCACCTCTTCCTAATTATTCGCATTTATTTGACTAGAATTCTCACCAACTACTGATTTGTATATATAATTATATTATACTAGTGGTCCCAACAATGCTATTTGCTATTGCAATGTAATGGCGTTCTCCCGCTACTGGTCACGAGATTGTTAATTGTGGTATACTCCTCCCTCTGCAAAAAGTTTCATAAATGAAAGGCTTTCTCGCCTTCTCGCTATGGGATTGTTCATTGTCCTGATTTGGACATGGTTATCAAGTATCGAATAGTTATCGATCTCCCTCAAGTTTGGGCAAGCATTCACTATTACACTGTCATGGAGAATTTTGATTTACTTGTTCGAGATAACGTTCAAGTAATCATTCCGGCCGATATTTCACAATTGTAGGGGCAGAATATGCAGCGAAGTCGCGCTTAATATTTGATGGGGGGGGACGGGTTGAGTGGAGCTTCTGTTGAGGGGCGCTTGAATCTGCGTAAATGTATAAAATCATTATCAACGCACGTCGATGTGCGACAGGCATACGCACATTTTCATTATACTATACCTACATTCTTCGCACAATTGCAAGCAGAACGTTTCATCACAATCGGATGAACGGTAGGGGAGCACGTAAAATACGAACAAATATTGACTTATATACATCACATTATTAAATATAATTACTACCTGCAGATTTTTGCAATTAAATCGTGAGATTACACTGGCTAATTCTGGTTTAATAGGAGTTCTATCCATCGCAGAAGCTCAAATGTGAATTACTAGCGCTGGAGTTCTCAATTCGATTATACGCGAAAAGGAGTAATTGTTGTCGAAGGTTCGGTTTGAAGTTCAGAGCCTGCGAAAAAACGTCTATTGACTGATCAGATCATACACACGAAGTTGAATAAATCAGTTCAACTGTTTTACAAACTGCCAACAGTCTTATTTAGGCTATCCAGGCCGAGCCGCGTCACGGACTGTTTCGGCCAGCGTATTGCTCAAAAGGCAGTACGCTCTGAGGAAGGCCGCAATACGCTGGCTGAAACGTTAGCCACCGTGTCAGTGGCGCGGCTCGTCCCGGATAGCCTAGACAACACAAACTCCGACCGCGGAAGCCACGCAACCACTGCCAACAGTCGTTTATTGGCTGAACAGACCATATTCACGAAGTTGAGTTCAAGATTTTTCAAACCCGCCAAAAGCCGCCCCGCTGGCTGAACAGATCATACACACGAAGCTGAATAAAGGCAGTCGGTTCCTTACCAGTAACACCTTAAACGTTGGGATGTCAGCGGCCATGCTGTTTACTCTCTGCAACACCTCCTCGACAATCGACTTGGCCTGCAGTTCGATCTGGTTCCTCAGCTCCCGTTTCACGCGCGGCAGCACGAACCACCTGGAGATCCTCCAGAGGAAGTTCCAGTCGCCCAGGCCTGTCAGATCCACCTCCAGCGGCCCCATCTCGCTCACTTCCAGGCGGCGCAGCCTCACTCTGAACGGCGACTCCAGGACTAGTACCAGCCGCAGAATAACCGGCGACACTGTAATCTGCGTACAGGGCTTGCATTGATTGATCGATGGAACGTCCACTGCTACGGTCATTTGTTGCAGTGAATGTTGTACAACCGAAGTAAATAAATAAATAAATAAATTTAATTATAAATAAATAATAAATCAATTT